GGGTTTGGGTTTTTTTGTTTGTTTATACTAAGGTTTGATACTCAGAAAAGCAAGGCTTCTATCTTGTTTTTATTCTTCACAAGTATCTCAGCTATTTTTAGTCTTTTGCATTTCCTTACAAATTCTAGAACTGACTCATCAAGTTTCAACTTCCCTCTGCCCCATTGAATTTTTTTTTTAATAAAGACAGCATTGCATGTAAATTACTTTAGAGAAATATGCATCTCTACAATATTGAGTCTTCTAATCCATGAACATGTTATATCTTTCCATTTATTTAGGTCTTTAAATTTTTCCCTCAAAAATGTTTTGTAGAAAAAAAAAAAATTCTGCTTCTAGCAGTAGTGGACCATGTTGCTTTGAATCAACTGTCCCACTGAGAACAAGTAGAAAGGTAGGCTAAAATATATAAAAAACAAAACCATCTGTTGGAAGGCATTGGAGAGCTGTCAAAGCACTGAAATTTTATGGAGCCAAGATCCAGAGGAAAGGAGGAAAAGTAGGAAGTGTGAGCTCAGCAGCTGGTCCTACTTTTCCCCTCAAGGTGGATTGCCTATTCCAAAAGCTGTGGCTGAGAGGCTGAGAAACCAGTTAGCTCTTAATCTCCAAGCAGGTGTTCTTTGCTGTCCTCCCAAATAGTCTCACCTTGTTCACCTGCAGTTTAGGAGTTAGCCAAAGACCCAAGGGGTATCTTTATACAGATTTTTAGGGCTCTGCAGCTCACTCCTCTCCAGTACTTTTCCCTCCAAATCCTAGCCAACTTGACCGCCCTAAAGTCTGATCTGTTTCTTCCACCCAGTGAGGTGGCTGCTGTTTGAGCTAGTTTCCTTCACCATGGTTTATGGTGACCTCAGGGAGAAGTCTGAGTTGAATGTGGGACTCGCCTAATGTGATTCTCTTCTAGCAGTGGTTGACTAACACAAATTGCTTTCCCTTCAGCAGTTATTTTTTCCCCAATGCTTTGAAGATGTAGTTATTGTTTTCTAGCTTCCATTGTTTCTGTTGAAAAGTCAATTGTCTTATTTTTGTCCCCTTGAAGATATATTGTTTTTTTCCTCTGTCTGCTCTTGCTTTTCTTTAGTTCACAGCATTTTTATGATGATATGCCTAGGTATGATTTTCTTTGTCTTTATCCTATTTGGGATTTGTAGAGATTCTCAAATCTGGGGGTGAATGTCTTTTTTCACTTTGGTAACATTCTCACCCATTATCTCTTTAAAAATGGATTCCTCCCCACCCCCTGTTTTCTGTCTCCTCTTTCAAGGACTCCAGTTATATGAATGCTAGTTCTTTTTACTCAATTCTCTATTTCTTACTCCTGGGAAATAATACCTCATTATGCAATAATCCATTGCATCCATGTGAGAAGGATTTGACAAATCAGTTAATTTGTCTCTTCTCTTGCTGAAGTTACTCAAACCCTCCCATACTCTGAAGTCGTGTCTATTTTTGACATCAACAGTGACAAAACGCACAAACTTGAATGGAACTCGGACATAGTCACATTTTATTTCAAGGACATAGGGCAAAAGATGTGGAAATTTTTTCTGGTCCTAAAGTTAAATGTTTAAGGGTATAGGCTGCACTATGCCAATGCTCAGTGCCAGATTCTGAGAGGCAACCATATATATTTGTGATATGCAGGGCCTTCTAAAGCATGGAGACCAAAGAAGGGGCCCCTCTTACCTGGGTCTAATGTTAGGGTTTAATTTCAACATTGTTGACATTTTGGGCCAGATAATTCTTTGTTCTGGTCTGTCCTGTGAATTATAGGGTGTTTAGCAGCAATCCTGACCTCTGCCTACTAGATGCACCCCCTCAATTGTGACAAAAATGTCTCTATATATTGCCCAATGTCTCCTGGGGGGCAAAATAACTCTTGCTTGAGAACCACGGGTCTAAGGATAATACTTCAGATAAGAAAGACCCATATATTAAGTTCTATTTGTAATTTATACCAATTAACAGTCTGCTTGATAAAAGCACATCAGTTTAACCTGAGGTATGAGTTATAATGTATTATTTTCCTTTGGCTTTGGCTATTTGGGAGCTCAGAGTTAAGATTCGCATTTGGTTTATTAACTATATTAGCCTGTTTTCAGGATTCACCTTTTTTTTTTTTTTAATGTAACAGTACTTTTAGAAATGGCTTCATGTGATTTGAAGAGGTTGGCTGGCAAAATGTCTCCATATGAAGCTCAGACTTAGGAGGCAACATCCTGGTACTGGTAACCACACAAGAGGCACCATTTTCAGTGGTGGGAGTTAGGCTCCTTGAAGCAGCTTTGAGGGCAGTGAACAGCAGTTATGGAAGTTGAAGAGGAAGAACAGGGAAGACATTGTTAAGTGTGGTGGGCATACCTTGTGGGAAGCATACAGGATGTATTCCTTTGGTTTTTCTCATGCCAGAAATAACTGGCATGCTGAGAGTGGGGTGAGCAGCTGCAGTTCAGAAATCAAGCCAGTGAGGGTTCAAGCCACAGTAATTTGGGTGTTAAAGTTAATGTGCACTTCCAGTTTGGAGATGGAAGAGTAAAATAATTTCTCTCTTCTCTTGGAAATCACCCAAAAGCAACAAGGAGAATGAGAAACAGAAGTGCAAACCAACTTCAACAAAACTGGGGGACATCTGAAAATCTTTAATAAGCTGGTGGAAGAGTTGGAAAAGTGGTGAATATCAAATGAGAATACAGGAGGATGCCTGCTGCTGCAGGATCTCAGAGGAAGCTAGCAGCTAGTGCCTTGTTTAAGGTGAAGATATTAACAGGAACAGTCAAGAGTGGCAGAGGTGAGAAGAGAGACCATATTGTGAATAGTCCTATAGCATCTGATCTTCCCTGGCAGGGCTAGTGATTCACATCCAATCCTGGATCATGAGAAAAATTGCTGCTAGTCTGACCTCTCCTCAACATGAAAATCCTGCAAATACCTGGGAAGAACCTCATTTAAAACTTGAATCGTCAGTTTTCCCCATTTAAGTAAATGGCAGTTCCTTTCTTCCAAGTGCTCATTCCTGACTACTCTCTCAAATGCTACATTGAATCTTTCAGCATATTCTGTTGGCCCTACTTTCAAAGTGTGTTTCTCACTGCTCCCACCATTACCACCCTAGTTCAAGTTCCTGTGCTCACCTAGAATATTGCAACAGTCTCCTAACTGGGCATTCCCTTTTCAAGACTGGCTCCGTTTTTAAAACACAGCTGCTTACACTATATTAGATAATGCTAAAAAAATAAAAGGCAAAGTTCAACCTCAGTTCTTCTAGTTTCCATTTTTATAGATGAAAGCACTGAGAAACCTTGTTCACATGAAAAAAAAATTTTAGACACTTCACTCAACCCTCTGAACTCTTAATTATAGGCCAAAAAATCATAGTGATCTTTCAAGAATTATTTTTAATAAACCTATCTGCTGACAATTCACTTCAGTTTACTAATTTTACTGAGGGCATATAACTGGAAACCACCTGTGTTACAAAAGGAACCATTCAGCCCTCAACATCCAATGTTTCAAATTGTTCCTTTGGTTGGAGCCTTGGAAGTTTTTTACTTGCAGGGAAAATTAGCCATAGTGAGATGTGGGATGGCTGAGAGGTATTGCCTTTCCTTCCCCCAGTGGGAGAAAGGCTACTGTGAAATGAACAGTAGGAGAGTTTTCAAGGAGATGGGTTTAAGAACGAGTACACATGGATGATCAAGATCTCTACTGATTTTCTATTGAACACCTTCATGTGCCTCCAAAAAAACCCCCAAACCTGTTGCCATTTAGTCAATTCCAACTCATAGCAACCCTATAGGACAGAGAACTGCCCCATAGGGTTTCCAAGGAGCGGCTGGTGGATTCAAACTGCCAACGTTTTGGTTAGCAGCTGAGCTCGTAACCACTGTGCCACCCGGGCTCAGGAATGTGCATATTAATGTGAAGACTACTGGTTAACAATGGCAAATGCTGCTGAGTCAAGAATGGGAAGAACTGAAAAGTACCTGTTTTGGCAACATGAGAATCACTGATTTGATGACTAGTTTTCTGTGCAGTTGTGTCAAGGGTGGGTAAGACTCAAATTGGAATGAGTTGAGAGAGGCAGGGGATGAAAGTGAAGTAGACTAAACAAGTTATTTAATTGGACGGTGTGGACACAGGATTGCAGCTGAAGGATATGGTACCTAACAATTATTTGAAGATGTGAAGAAGGGCAAATGCTAAGAGGGTATAAATACAGAAGATTCAAAAGCACTAGGTTTACAAGGTGAAAAGGATTCAGTGGCTAGAGTTTATTGAGCATTTACTGTTATAACCAGTGTGCTAAACTTTTTACTGTTTTATCTACTCACAATAAACATATTAGTTACTATTGCTGTTTTCATTTTACAGATGATAAAAGGAGAGCCAAAGAGATCGTTATGCTCAAGGTCACTCAGCTAATCACTCAGCAAGGTGGTAGGGCTGGAATAGTACCTAGAGCACAGTGAACACTTCTCCATGGCTGTGGAGTCTGAAGAACTCTACTTTCTACGTAAGATAGAAAGTTAGGGCCTATTAAGAGTGAAGATGAGAGGGCCACAAGTTTGACAATAGAAGTTTTAAATAGCTATTAAGGAGAATGGAAGAACAGTTGACTAGGTTAGAGAAAACAGGGTTTAACAACAGTGTTGTAGTCAGTGAACACTAATTTTTAGTAATACTGATTTGTGCATTTGGTGAGCTTTCTCCAGAATGCTCTGTAGGGGACTGGATACATCCAGGGTTGTTTTCCAGCATGGTATGACATTGGGGAAGGTTACTTGGGATACTGACAAGAGTGATACTGAATTGATAAATTCAATGAAACAGGTAAAAACAGACTGGCAATGACCAGACTGTAATAGGTATAAAGAAAAAGAGGTGTTATGGTCAGAGGTTTGTTTTTGGATGTTGAAAGTATCCAGGATGTGGTTGTGGTAGAGACAAAGTAATGAAAGAAAAGCCCTCTGAGTAGGAAATGGTCATTGAAGTCAACCAGGTAGTTGAAATTTTTTTATTTCCCCAAAATTTACTCAAAGAATGTGACCAGCCAAGCTATGGTTTTATCAGAAGTACAATCACTCTCTAGACTTTTCTCTGTGCCTTCAATTCTCCCAGATTTTGAAAATTATAGATTTGAGGACTTTTATCTATTAATGCACACAAAATTGTAATCTGTGTTTCTGGAAACATTCTTTTCAATAAAAAGACCGTTAGATCATTGGTACAGGAAAACACTTGAGTACAGGCAAACATGGGAGAAGTGCACCAGTTGCACATTTCAGTTACGAAATTATCGATGACATGGAAAAGTTGCTATGAAACTTTTCACTGAATAGTGTATTTCACTGCATGAAAATAATTTGTATTTTCCACCTGATTTTTTCAGTAGGGGTAACTAAATGGCATGGCATCAGTCTTCTGTTGTTAATGCTTTTCTCTAATTAGAAAAAAAAAAGGTTCATGCTTAAAAGACAACTGTGATGTTTAATGTGGTGCTGGGACACTAAGCCACATGGACCAATAGACCTAAATTTATTCCAACCCTGATATTATGTTAATGTCCAATAATACATGAATTAATTGAAATCAGAATTTCTCAATTTGGAGATGAAAAGGTCTTCCAGTGTAGTTATCATTTTAGAAGGCTCTTCCACTTACATATCGTTAACAAAGACTTATAAAAACCCAGTATATTTAAACAATGAAATGATGAAAATACTTCTTAAAACATAATACTGGTCTCTCCCTCTTCAATTCTTAAACATAATCAGTCCTTTTCTTTCTACTTAAATTAGCTGCAATAAGCAATTCCACAGACTAAATATTTGAAAATCAGTAGCCAACCTAAAATTTGTTGAATGAAGCCAAACTTGTTCAAATCAATTCTTTGTTAAATGCTATATGAACTGTCTACTATCCACTGACTCAACATTTTACTATACGGGGTAGCAATGTGAGAAATAGGGGGGAAAACCCTTGGGGGTCGAACATATAAAGAATATTTCAGATGAACTGTATAAACCAGAAATCTCACCTGTTCTGTTACTCTTCTAATACATTCTAAATTTCAAAACAACACAGGAATAATTAAAAAGAAAAATCCCACACATCAGTATCTAAGCATCTAAACATATAGTTTGGTTTACAAATAGGTTTGACTCAAACCTTTCAACGCCAGTTAGAAATATCGTAATTTTGGACCCAATTATTCAAAGATCATTGACTAGCCCATAATGCAGTCTGAGTTAATCTGCTATATGAATCAACCACATAATAGAAGCCAGATGATTCCAACCTTACTCCAACAGAAACTGCAATAAAATTACAAAGTAATACTTTTTATAATTAGATGACAATGCTGTATCAAGATAACAACATTGGGATAAAATGATGACAATTTGTTTCAGCTTCTTATTCAATAAGCCTGTTCCTCATTTTTAGACAATGAGGATACAGGTTTTACAACCAAATGTAGGAAACGGCTTTCTCTTATTTAGGCCTTAGGGAGAAAATTAACTTTGGTCACATATTACCTCAAAAAAAAAAAAAAAAAAAAAAAAAATCAGTTTTACATAATCCTAGATAGGACCAAATGATCACAGAAATAATTTCTTCTGTAAAAACTGGCCAAATTTTATAAAAAATCTAATATATGATGTAATTCAAATTATATAAAGACTGCTTAGGGTCGTATTATTCCAAAATTATGACAGTTCCAAGTCCATCGTAACAACTGTGGAAGTACTTGCTCTCATGTTGCTTTGGTCCAAAAGAGTAGAGCCGAATCAGTAAGAGTAAACTAAGTACCTAATCTTTTGCCAACATTAGATGTTACTGGAAGGAAAACTATCCATGATGAACAATTCCGCTATAACAAAGTATAATAAAAGCAGAGTATTTTTCACAAACATATCACAGTATCAAATAAACTTTTTATAAGAGAAAAGTATGAAAGAACAAAAAAGATAAAACAGCTATCACAAAAACAAAACATTATCTGTTTCAAAAGTGTCTCCCCCATAACTGCATTAAAAGGGGTAAGAAGGTAAGGTTAGAGGGTTGATGATGCTAATATGAAAGGAAGCTGAGTACTGTATTTATTATTTTATACAACTCTTACTCTTTACAAAAATGGTTATAGTCATGCCCATAAAAGTGTAACCCATGGCATCTGAAAGCAAACACTCTTTGTAATTATTTAAAAGGGCCTTTTTAAAAATTATAATACAAAGGTCTGTGCTCTATAAGCAGTCCTCCACTGTGCATTATAACAATAAGGCTTACTTTTAATACAAAGACTAAGTGTTTGGGAGTTATGAACCACTGGATTTAACAAACATCATTTTGTAATTGCTTTTTGCATCTTTTTTGTTTTTGGGATCCTCCACTTCATCAGGGTGTTCAGTAGCATGCAATTCTTCAGCAGATTCTTCTTTCTCTGACTCTGAATCACTTTCAGAGTCATCTGGACTTTCAGGATCAGGTGACTCATCATCATCATCATCTCCAGCCACATCACCTTCTCCATCATGATCTTCTACCT